TCCGAAAGTCCGCCTCCCAGGGCGATGCTGCCGGACACCCGGCCTCACTCAGGGCCTCTGCCAACGCTGCGGGTCTGCGGAGCCTATGGATGGGGAGAGGACGGAATCTGGGCGCCTCTCCCGGCAGGATTCTCGGGGGGAGGGGCCGGGAAATGTGGGAGCCTTGGTGTCACCTCTCCGGGTGGGGCCCTTCTGTGACGTCATGGAATACATCGCGAATCCCTGACTCTGGCTGGAGGCTTGTGCAACGTCACAGTGTCCGCGGGAGGATGCCGTGACGTCACAGCACCATAGAACTCTGGGATGTGGGATGGGACGCCTCTGAGCTGACTAGAGACACCAGGATTCCGCTGGGCGGAAAGAGGGGTGATGCTCTCTCAGGTTCCACATTCTGGGAACTGAAGGCGCCCTAAGCACCCCACGCGTTTCTCCCTCCTCTTCCCCAGGCCCTATTGGAGCCCGGAGTTCCCTGCAAGGAGGTCCGCAGGAAAACGTCCCTTGTTCCCCCACCTCCTCCCTCTCCCCCTCCTTCTGCTACATTCCAGAAGGAGGAGGTGGAATCTGAACTTCTTCCAACTAGGGCGAAGCCCCTGCGGGCTGTTCTCCCCGGGTCGCTCTCTATCTTGCCCCAGGAAGCCCCAGGCTGCACCGATGGTCTCTCGCCTTCTACCCGTCGGCAGAGGAGTCCAGCCAGTAGCTCCCCCAACCCCACCCCACGCAGGAACCGCAGGCCTAGCATTTGGGCAAGGACCCCAGCTGAACTCCAGCGGTCCAGGCCAGTGACCTCCTTCCATCCTGAAAACCCGCGCGGGGACTGTGGAGGCAGGGGCGGGAGGCGGTGGAATGGGACTTGTGGGGGGAGGAGTTAGCTCCCACAGAGTGGACAGGCAAGAAAGCCCACCCAACAGTTTTGATCCCCTCGTTGCTTTTTTCGTGCGACCCACAATGAGTACAAGCGGCAAAATGCCCCACCCAGGTCACCGGGAATCGCAGCCTGTGTGGGGTCTGGTGACCCACGGCCTCGCCTGCCCCTTCCACTTGCAGATGCCATTTCTGCACAATCTATGTAATCTCTGTCAGGAGTATAGACGGCGGAGAACTAGGCTGGGAAGTGGCTTCCGAGGCCACCAGCAGGATAGCAATCTTGGGTGGAGTGAGCCCAGGCAGAGGTGCTGGGAGTGGCTGGCGATCTCTGAGCAGCACCCTGCCCGGCTCCCCACCGCCCCCTGAACACTCGGCACTGGGAACCCCTTCTTCCAACGATGCACACTGGCAGGGCCTGGGGTTGGAAGGGTGGGGGTTCCTGGTGCCTCCCCATTTCACAGCCTTTAGGAAGTCCTTGAGACCGGACTAACCACAGAGGCACTGTGTCCCCCAGGGATGGGAGGTGGAGGAGTGTGGGGGAGGAGTGGGCAGCAGCGGTGGTCAATCCCTGGGAAAGACGGAAACTCCAGAAAGAGCCAAGGGGTGGGTGGGGCTCTCTCTCAGATCCTCAGAAGTTCCCAAAGCTCTGCATCCATCGCAGCTGTGTGTGTGTGTGTGTGTGTGTGTGCGCGCGCCCTCCCACTCTTGATGTCTTGGAACAATCATGTCCCTCCCCCAACCTCACCGGATTAGTTAAGGAACTGAGGTGGCTCCTGCCATCAGCTTTATCACAAGCGTGGCCAAGGGCAGACCACCCACTGCCTGCGCTGGCTGGGCCCAAGCGTCGAAACCCAAACCCACTGACTAAACCCCTCCATGCACCCAGAGGTCACAGTTCTCTGGGACCTGGTTTCCCTTCTCGCCTGGGACGCGTCCTTAAGGACCGAGTGGAAGAGGGATTGGGATCCTGTCCGACTAGCCAAGCTCCTACAGGCTGGTCCAGACCCCGAAGCGCCCTGTCCCTCCTTCGCAGGGGGCCCTGGGACCAGTCAAGAAGGTTTTGCCCTGCAGGAGTGGCCATAAGGAGCTTCGGGCGGCGAGTCACCCTGGGTTGTGGGCGGGACACAATGAGGTGCCCGGAGTCCGGGCCGCCCCGCCAGGCTTGTCCAGCAGGGGGCAGTGCGGCTCCAAACGCGGAGGGCAGGGCTCCTCTGAGCTGGCGGGGCTGAGGCCACAGGGACAAGCCAGGTTCCCGAACCGCGGAGTTCACTCCAACGCTGGGCCCAGAGGCAATCCCGGGGTGGGAGTGGGGGTCAAGGGCGGGGGCGCCGTGAAAGGCTCGAGCGTTTTAACTCCGACAGCCCCGGCCCGTTTCCTTAGGGCGCCGGGCCCTGCCCAAGGCTGGGATTTGGGGTTCTTATTATTGGGAAGCTCGCTCTTGGCCCTGAGCGCGGATCACAGTAGCCCGGGAGGCTGCGCT